GTGACTCGCCTTGGGCGACTTCGATGCGTAGTTATATTCCTTAGGCCCGGACGCACCTAAATAGCATTCCCCAAGCAATGCTTGAAATCCGGGGGTCCTACTTCTCACTGAGTTCGTAAAGGTTGCGGTATCAAGGGGCGCGGTGCTAATGCTACAGATGACGATCTGAATTACGATAGGAGTGTTGGCTTTGCGGCGACCGCCTCGAACAACATCAGAGTTCCTACTTCAAACTTCCCAAACGACCGCAGTCCGATGTGAACGGCAGCACAGAAACCTGTTCCAGGACGCCCGATCACCAAACACGCAAGTTTGCAAATTCCAAATCGCGAAAATCATGATTCGCGCATGTCCGTATCGCCAAAACGTAATCCTGGAGACTCTGGGTTTAGATATAAGACTGTCTCAATGCGAGCCATGATGCTGGAAATTCCGAAACGGCGTTCCAGATGGGCCCGAATCGCACGCAGAATTCGTTCGGGAAGTTGCGGGATTCCCAGCATCGCACGTGTGGCGATAGGGCGCCATGGAATGGGTCTTTTGTGTCGCCGTTCAGATTGGGCAGCGGTCGTTCGAGGAGTTTCGGATTCGAGAATTTGGGTGTGTTCCAAGGATCGGAGGAGTTTCGGATTCGATTTTCGAATTTTTGAATGAGGGTTCCAAGAATTTTCAAATTTTCGATTTTCAAATGTTCGAAGTTTCGAATGAGGGTTTTCGATTTTCGAATTTTCGAATTGGAGAATTTTGGTTTTGTTGCAAGAATTTGGGTTTTTTTTCCGAATTTTCGTTTGAGGAGTTTTGGATTCGGGGTCGGCGCAAAGCCAATGCTGTTGAAGTCGGGATGCAACGCACTTGCGGCTATCGTAATTCAGATCGTCATCTGTAGCATCAGCACCGCGCCCCTTGATGCCGCAACCTCTACGACCTCCATGAGGAGCAGGACCCCCGAAGTTCAAGAGTGTGGTCGGGGATGGATAGTTGAGTGGGTTGGGGCTTATGCGAATAAAACTATTCCTCAGAAGACGCATGCGGCCAGTCACAGCCGCCTCCTGACGGTCTGGAGGTGCCGATGTGGCCAAGCGTTGGGCCAGCGTTCGGCCAGGCTATGCAGCTGCCGGCAGCAGGTCCCGTCGCCGTCCCAGCGCAGCACCCTCCAGGAGCCGGCGAGAGCCCGGAGCTGCCCTGGGGTCGGCTGCAGTCGGACCGAGGCATGAGATCGAGGTCGGTTCGGGGAGGGTGCCCTACATGTCCTTCGTGTTTGCTGGACGTTCGTGTGCATCCTGGGGGCGGGTGCCCTCGACTGTTTTGGTTGAGCCCCGAGGGATGTTCTCGGAGGATGCTCTTGGAGGCCGTTCTTCTGTCCCAGGGTCGGCCGTACAAGTACGAGCGGCCGTTCGCCGGAGCGACCTTTGATGCGGGCTCATATAGGGTCCCCCCAGAGCTCAGTATTGTTTAAACCGACCCCCATCACCATCCCCCTCGAGACCCCCACGAAATTGCCCCCCAGCGGGGGGATACACCCCTCGAGCGGCCTATATCCCCATCTAGGGGGGTACAGTCGGGGCCCTGAAGAAGGAACCCTTTTCGTTGGGGAGGGGCTCCGCGTTCCTTAAGTGTTTCACAGCTTGCCTCAGGCCTTCCTTATGTTTTCGACAGGAATTCGAAGGTTAACTTATGGAGCAAAGGGGCCTCGTTCCTTATTGAAGGTTCCTTAGGTCAACGCCCCGACTGTATATCCCCATCTAGGGGGGTAAGTCGGCCAGCGGGGCCCAGGCCGCGCCGCTGGGGACAGGCATCGGATAAGCGATGCTTACCAGCACACCTGGCCTGCGCGCTCGGATGAGGCCTACCCGCGGCCCCCGACTGGCCGCGCAGCAGAGGTCGCCCTCGCCTGGGGTCACGCTCGCGTGCAGTCGACGGAGGCCCGACCCGTTCTCCTCCTCCTCCTCCTCCTCCTCCTCCTCCTCCTCCTCCTCCTCCGCCTGCTCCTCCTCCCCCTCCCCCTCCCTCCTCCTCCTCCTCCATCTCCCCCTTCCCCTCCCTCCTCCTCCTCCTCCTCCTCCTCCATCTCCCCCTCCCCCTCCTCCTCCATCTCCCCCTCCCCCCCCTCCTCCTCCTCCTCCTCCTCCTCCTCCTCCTCCTCCTCCTCCTCCTCCTCCTCCTCCTCCTCTTCGGGTCGCCTACGGCCCCGGGGGAAACCGTGTACCTCCCAGAGATGCGAGACACCAACAGAACTCGGAGCGGCCGGCTTTGGCTAGTTTCGGCCTCCGGGGGCCCTCTGCCCACCACCCACCGAACCATCCCAACCCAACCCGAAGGCCCCAGTCTGCCCTCCATTCCGAGTGTGGGGGGGGGGGGGTCGGGGAACATGGGAAAAAACGCGTCTGTGGCCCCTGCCCTTACGTCGGGCCTGTCCCTCTACAGGGGGAATATCCAAAAATGGTCAAAAAATAGCCAGGGGGCAACTGTTTGACAATCTTTGAGCCTTTTTGGGGCCCGAAGCACGAAAGTTGGGCCTTCGGGCCCCGGCTGGGGTGGTCTGGGAGGTGATCCCATCGGGCCCTGGGACCGTCGAGGAAGACGACTCAAGAGATGAACACGCGTGGAAAAAAGTGAAGCTCGGGAGCCTCGATCCCCGATCCCCGATGCCAGGTCCTCGATCCTCGATCCTCGATCTTCGATCCTCTGTCCTCGATTTCGGCCTCGGGGGGCCCTCACTGGGCCCCAGGACAGTCCGAAAACGACCTGGGATGGAAAACCGGTTCTGGGCAAGCTGTTGAGGCTCGGAGCTCAAGAGACGGGGGTCAGTGCCAACGGGGGTCAGCCATGAGCGCCGGATTTTTCAGGAGCCTGCAGGGCCAGTGGCGCACTGACCCGGGCTAGGGCGCAGGATCCTGCAGGATCCTGCAGGCGGCCCCCACTGACACAGGTCCGGACTGGCCCTGGTCGGTGGAGCCCCGAGAGATATTTTTTGGGGGTCGACGCTACGGATAGGGGGCCACATGCGAACCCTACCCCTACCCCCCAAGATTTCTGAGGGGGAGGGTGGGGTTCACTTCGTTCGGAAGCTCCCGAGCGAAGTGAACCCCACCCTCCCCCTCAGAAATCTTGGGGGGTAGGGGTAGGGTTCGCATGTGGCCCCCTAACGAAGAAAATCATGGCGTCGGGGGGGGTCTGGGGTCGTCGCTCGTGGATCGCAGAGACATCTCCATGTTGCCGCGGCCTGCCCTGGATCCGCGACCCCGCGGCAACGGGCGCGCTTGCCCCAATCATTATAGGTTTGCCCAAGGGGCTCCTACTCGGCTAAAGGGTGCCCCAGGTGCCTCAGACCAAGCAATGCTAAGCACTGCGCCCATGCAACAAGAAATTGCCCCCCAATTGGCGCCGCGCCGGGTTCCTTTCGCAGATGCCCCGCGCGTGACCTTTCCGCGCCACCGCGCGTCCTGAGATCCGACGGCGGGAATCGAATATCACGACTGGAGCCCCAGACCCCATGTTTCTGCTGCATCTTCCGAGCCGGATCGATCTGTGAGGGCCCTGGGGCCCGAGACTTGACGACAGTGCCGACTCGAAACGAATTCCAGCCCGCGAGGGCGCAGATGCGGATGTTTTCGCCACTCGCGTGACACTTTCGGGGCTTCCGTCGGGTCGGACGAGAAGAAGTCGGCGTTGCGCCAGAGGGCGAGTTGGACGCTCTCTGAGCATGACTGCCCTGAGAAGGCCCGCCCCCTCTGTATTCCCCCGTGGGCGCTCGCCGCAGAACAAAAAACGGCAGAAGCATAGTTTCTCCGATGTCCGCGCGGGTTTCTTCGATCGGTGTTGGGTCCCCCTTGCCAGGGGCTCTGGCGCCGCCCCCAGCGCGCTCCGAGAGCCTGGGAGGAGAGTCTCCAGCGCCTTGTAGGTGCCCTGGCACGCCCGTGTTGAAACGCGACGCGTGCCGTGTGCTCAAGCCGTCCGTGCTGACACGCTGCGTGTTGGTTCGGCCTGCACGTGTTGGTCCACGTTTTGGCGAGCGCAGCGTGCCAGACCTGCGCTTCCAGTCTACGTGATGAGCTCCGCGGCAGCACGCTTCGTCTTGCGTGCTGCGTGTCGGGGCAGCAGCCAAGTTTCTGGAGGTCTCGTTTGCTCTTGGAGGTCTTCCGGCCTCGGGGTGCTCTTCTCCAGCGGCTGCGCATCGCCGATCGAGGGCGTTCTGGGGCGGGGGGGGCCTCTGGTTGACCCAAAAGGGGGCGGTGCAAAAGATTTGGTGGTGCAATAGGTTTGGTGCAGTAGAATTGCGGGGTGGCAGTTGATCTGGGGCGCGCAATAGACTCCAGTGCGCAGATGTACTGCTGGGTTCTCGCGTGCATTGCGTCAGTCAGCTGTTCCGTGCAATTCTCTGGCGCAGCACACGTGCAATACAATGGCCCCCTTCCAGCTGGACCCCCTTCCAGCCGGACCCCCTTCCAGCTGGAACCCCCTTGGGGTCAACCAAAGGGTCGGGCGTCCGCCGCCCGTGTCCCCCCCCCGCTCTCGTTCCGTCGCAAAGCATGGGAGCCTGGTATGCCCTCCGAATTCCGTTATTTTGGCGTCGGCTCGCGTCGAGTAGCGACTGGGAGTCGATGCGGCAGCGCCGATCCAGCGTCGACCCAGCGTCGACTTGGCGCCGATCAGCGTCGACTTGGGGTCGATTTCGCGTCGATTCGCAAGCGCCGACGGGCTGGTGTCGCAGGCTCCCGGGAGGTGCCACCGAACGTTCGGCGCGCCGCTGATGGCCCCGCCCGCGCCGTCGCCTCCGCTCGAGCCCTCCTCTGTCAGGGGTGAACAGGCCTCCTACCCTGACACGTCGATTCAGGAATTGGCCGTTTCGGTTCGCGAGAGGGCGTCGCGGCCGTCATTTTTGCGGGTCCAGGCCCGTCGTTTTCGGTCCCAGGCCGTGTTCACTAAGGGGAGGCTTACTAAAGCGAGGTTTGTCCACCGCCGACTCTGGGCCAGGCGGGCCGCCCGCGACGCGACCCTACAGGCTCAAAATTCGGCACGAGGTGTCGGGGCATGTGCCCGCGCGGGCCCGTCGGCCGGGCGCGCTGGGCAGGCCAAGGAGCGATGTCCCGCGGCGAGCGAGGGTGTTGAAATGACAAGGTCGAGGTTTGAGGTTCGAGGTTTCGGGGCGTTCTCGTCGGTGCCCGGCGGCTTTCCAGCCTCGGGATGCGTTCCAGCAGCTGCGCCTCGCCGAGAGCGTTCCAGGGGTGCCCGGATCGTTCCGAACGGCCGCCTGGGACCCGAGTTGTGACCCGAAAACCAAACTCGGCGGCGCGCCGAGGGGGGGAGTGAGAAGGAGAAGGTCTTCTCAGAAGGCGGCGGGACACCTCAGAAGCCCTCGCGCCTCCTCAGAAGCTTTCGGCGTCCTCGGGGAAGGCTCAGAAAGCTGCTCAGAAGGCTGGGGGACCTCCGAGCCTTCTGAGAAGGCCCGCCCCTTCTCACGTCCCCACTCGCTCGCCGCCGGCGGAAGGGCGGGAGGGCGGAAGGGCGGGCACGCAGGGCTGCAGGTCAAGGGGGGCCACTCCAGGCTCGGGAGGGGCGCAGATCCCTGGTAAGGGCTTCACGACCTTTTACCAACTGGCGTGTGGGGTCGAGCCAGATGAATCCAGGCAGATGCAGATGCATCGAGGTACATCCGCGTAACTCCGGGCAAATCCAGGCAACTCCAGAGATCACCAGGGAAAGTCATGGCAAATCGCGGCCGCTCCAGCGCGAGGCGACGGACGACAGAGTCGAGCCCTTCACAAGCAGACCCCAGGGGGCGGAGCGAGAAGGAGGGCAGGCCTTCTGGGAGGCCCGCGTGGCTTCGGCGCAGGCTGCCTGCCGCCTGAGAGGCGCCCTCCGAGCCTCCTC